TTCTGGGAAATAATATATTCTAATATTACAGAGCCAAGAGAAAATAAAAACAGCCTTAGGAGAAATACAACAAAAATAGTCAGAATTGGTTAGACTGATCACCTTACCACAACCTTCATGAGGGCATACAAAGTCTCTTTCTCCAGTATGAATGAGAAAGTGTCTTTTCAACTTTGAACTATCCAAAAATTTCTGCAGTATAATTAAAAACCTACTTCAGACACTTTTATATAAGGCCTTAAAGAAGGTTATTAATAAATAAAATTCACGAAGAGGAGCAACATGAGTGAAATGATGAAAAATGAGGCTCAACATTTAACATAACATTAAAAAAGATTACATATTGCAATGAGTAAAAACAGAGTGCAAATCAATCAGGCTCAATTGCAATCAAATCCACACCAACAGAATCACCACAACAGCACTTTCTTTTCTGGATTTGCAAAATTTAGTTCCATTTCTTAATGCAAACTGTTGTTGTGTTAATGAAAATTCTCTAAATGTTTACACCTTACAGAAGTCCACAGATTTCTCACTGATAAATATAAACATTGACCACAAAAGTTATTTACTTCGCAATTTGATAAATTAACTACTTAACACAACCTGCCAACCTTCTAAAGAACTTTATATTTTACACAACCTGTCAACTGTATAAAGAACGTTTTATTTTTGACCGATAAAAGAAAAATTACTAAAAGTCAAAAGATGACCTCAACTAACAAATTTACCATATTTACAAAACACATAACTAAAAAAGGACATTGCACCAAGTGCTTATATTGGTACAGGAAAATAGGACTAAATTGATAATTGTTTAAACTTGGATTGACTACCAGAAGCCTTTCATTTTCTGAAAAAGCAAATAGTTGCAACATGGCCACTATTTTGGTTCAATGCAATCCAAATCAGGAGAACCTAATTTCTTGACTATGGACTAGGAAGGCTAACTTATGAAAACAGAATAAAGGGGATAACATAAGGCAGCCAGGTCTCCTAGAGGTAATCTAAAGAAATGCTTATACCAAGTTGCTAATTTGAAGTAGGGAGAATCTTCATGTTCAATAGCTAGTGCTACTTCCAAAGTTTTGTGATAGACCTCCTATTAATAAAGTCTACCAACTGAAGGGGCATATAGGACAAAAGGGTGCTGGGAGTGCGAGTGAGCACTAAAAGAGTGAATGTGCTAGTGGGAGTTTGTAATGGAATATTCACGTGACAGGATTTAAAGTTTGTTTAGAGGAGGATATTTCAGTAGGGTAAGTAGTATATAAAGAGAAGTTCAGTCTTGGGGAAAGGGTTACGTATATTTCTTCAAGGATTGTCAAGGGAGGTCCCTAGCTCCTTGAATTGCTGGGAATTATCTGCTCTTGTGTTACTTTGCTGTTGATTCTATTTTTGTCATTCAATTCTCTTCTTTAATACAGTACTGATTAATATCAGATTGTGTTTTCCATTGTTATCTGTATTTTGGGTTGTTTGTTGGCTGGATTTGGTTCAATTTGACAGGGGTTCCCATCATTTTTCAACAGATACTTGAAACCAAAGTAATTAAACTCGCACCTGATTGCTTCAAACCATCAGATTAGGTTTGTCCAATCCTAATTTTTCAGAGTAGAGTAGTAGGAATCAAATCACACCAAACAGACAAATTAAAAGATAAGAGAGACGTCCAGCACATCACACATTTATTAAATGTAGCATTTCATGTTTTTAAGTAATGTATGTCTCTTCAAGTCTAGATTTTTGAGAGTTTCATGATTGATAGCATGTCAATGTCACTCATATCTGTAACCGTGGATCACAACTTAACTAAAATGTAATTCTTAATATTTACAACAGTCTTAAAAATATATCCTAAAAGCAACAATTAAACGAAGGAACAATTTTAGAAGTTTTACCTTTCCACATCCCTCATAATGACAAACATATTGTCTCTCTCCATGGATGTGCGAATGCTTTCTCAATGCCCCAGCATCAATGAAGGTCTTCCCGCAGCCTTCATAGCTGCAAAGGAATAGAACTTCAGTAGTAGGTTCTGGTTCCGGCTCTGGGGCGTCTGGCTCCTTTGCCTTCTCTTTCAAGGCTCTCAAAGTGTTCTCTAAACACAAGGAGAAAGGGGGGAAATTACAAAAATCAAATAACAAATCTATAGGAGAAGAACTGTCAGAAAAGACCCTCTATAAATTCACCATCTTACACCCCTCCTGAATGCCACCACAAAATCTCATGACAAATAAGAAAACTCAATGCCTAATCACAGAATGATTAGTCCAAACTAATTCAACAACTGAAACAGGTCAGATGGAGCATAATTCTCAAACAAAAGAACAAAAAGCAAGTGAAAATCTAGAACCTAGAAAAGCAAATGAAAGTAATAGGAAGTACATAGGAAGTGGTCACAAAAGAATTGAGCAAACCATCCTATTGACAAGCTACTAAACCTGATGCTAGAGCCATACTATAGTTTGAGAGAACAAGATTACCAGGAAGCCAATTACTACAAAGAAGTTTAACATTGGTACTCATAAACAAAAAACTTTACCTTAAAAACAATACTGGTTGCAGAGCTGCATAGCATCAAAAGAAGAGAGCAGTAAAGAAAAAACATGAACAGAAAAACACTCTTCAACTATGGAAAACGGTAATAAAGTGTTAAACAAGAATAGAAACACACTTTTTGGTCCAGTAAAACAAGTTACACGATTTTTATGGAATCTTCGAATAAATCAATATTCTTGTCTCCATTCATGAATTTTACCTAATTCAAAATGAACAAACATGATTCTCAAAAAATTTCAGTCCACAGAACATTCTAAGCATAAAAATAACAAATCTTAATATCTAAGACTTCAAGTTGGATTGCCAACCAAGAATCCGCAAGCACAAGTTCTATTTACATCTCAGTTTGCAAAACACAAAATCTCATACTTTTGCATATATACATAAGAATCGTTTACATTTCAACTGCGAGCATCAAAAAAGAATCAAAGCAGGTGTAATCGCTTACCATTTACCCATCTATAAAGCTGGCACTTCCCACCAGTGGCAACAACATCTTGGGGTACCCTACAAAGTCAATATTTTTTGAAATATTAAAACAAAAACAAAGACATGGTAAATTTTAAATGGGCAATTTTTGTGCAAATAATTACAGGTGAAATGGTTAAATTCAGCATTAATTCAATATGTTTCAAAACTAAGAATGAAACCCAGATACAAAAAGTTAAAATTTGCAAGAACAAAACAGATGGACAACGGCTAAATTCACCAAAAATTCAATATTTTTTATAAAAATCAATCAAAAACATTCCCACAGAAACCCTATGTAACACTAAAAGGGCTTTAAACATGCAGCAATAGTAAATGGAAACAAAATTCGCCAGAATAAAAAGATGGGAAGTGGCTAAATTCACCCTAAATTCAATATTTTTCATGAAATCAAACCAAAAATATTCCTTTAAAGTAATGCAACACTTAAAAGGGTCATAAAAATACAACAATAGCTGAATAAAACCCAGATACAAAAAGCCAAAGTTTACCTGTACAAAGAGATGGACAGTGGCTAAAATTCACCCTAAATTCAATCTTTTTGATAAAATCGAACCAAAAACATCCCTTTAAAGTAATGCAACACTGAAAGGATAATAAAAAAATCCAACAATTTCTAAGGAAACCCAGAAACAAAAGGTATAAAACAGACGGTCCAGGGTGAAACTTACCATTCTTTATACCATTTAACAGCGGGAGCTTTGGATTTGAGAATGGGGCGTCGTTCGAAGAAACTGTGAGTGTATTGAGTGTCCATTGCTCTGCAATTTTATTAGTTTCTTGTTTTATTGTTTTATTGGATTGAAGAAGAAGAGACTTTTAGAGTAGGGTTTGGAATTAAGGTTTGAAGAAAGAGAGAAATTGGGAAAGAGAAGGAAAAAGCTTAGAAAGTTTGAAGTGAAACTGTCCAAGTTATTGGAGAAGCTGTTCAACTCTTTCGTGACGATTCGGTATTATTTTTACGAATATAAGTAAAAAGAGTTACAAGTTAATATGTTCAGATATAATAACAAAACCTTTTATTTTTTATTTTTTATTTTTTTTAAGGTTTTCAAATCCAATAATACTATATGTGCTAACTATTTATACTAATGCAAGTACTAGTATTAAAATTTTAAAATTCTCTCTAAAAAAACAATTCAAATTTTTAATATTAGTACTTAAAGTAGTACAAAATAGTTAGTACATATAGTATTATTGTAAGAACAAAAATCTCTCTCAAGTTTCCAAAGTAACAGAAATTCTCTAACTATTAATATTTAGGTGTTAAAATAAAGGATAAGAAAATAATTTAGTAATATTTGTCGATTGATAGCAATATAAATTTTAGTGATCGCTGATATTATTTGAAAGGGTAATGCTATGTGCACTAACCATTTGTACTAATCCAAATACTAATATTGAAAATTTGAAATTATTAAAAAAAAAAAATTCAAATTTTCAATGTGAGTACTTGGATTAGTACAAAATGGTTAGAAGTTAGTAGGGATAGTTTTTAAAAATCATATTATTTCTAAATCTAATTTTACATTGTAAAATTACAAATATACTCTTACATAATTATTTGAATTACAAAATGAACTTAAATCAACATTTGAGTTATTAAATAATTAATTTTATAATTTAAAAAATATTGGAACAAAAGTGGTTGCTTACACCACTGCGGTCAATTGTTGGTCAACAGCAATCAACACCGATAAAAGGAGACATATTGACACTTGTCAATCCTATCGGGTTCGATTGACGCTGATCCAAAAGAATCCAATTGAATCATCGGATTCCAACACTTCATTTAGCCGCATGAGCGATAGAATCACCGAATTTCTGTAGATCAATGCCAATCGGTCTCGGTAGCACTAACAGTGGCGTCAAATCATTTTTTTTATTNAGTACTTGTAATTATACTTTTTTTTCAAGTGTGATATTTATAGCATACCCAATATGTTACATACCTAAACTTGCTAGAGAAGTGTTGATTTGATTATCACTTAGATCCAAGCTTTTCAAGTTTGTCAAATTTGCTAAACCTGCACAAATAAAAACAAAACCAAAAAACAAGAGAAGAAATAGAATTTGAAAAGCAGGTAGAAAACACCAAATGATTGTAACTTTGACAAATATTGGTTACCTAGTGAATTAAGAGCTCCGCTAAGTCCATTATACATCATATTCAACTCTTCCAAGTTTTTCAAATATTTTAAACCTACATGAAAAAGAGAGAAAGTAAAATATAACTCTTACTACTTATTTGATGGGCCTTGGGCCAACTACTAAACTACCTATTGATATGTTTGTTATGTGATTGTAATGTCATCTATTTTATTAACTCACTCATTTTTATATATGCACATGATCTAACTTCTTACTTCTCTAAGTTTTTCAAATATTTTAATAGGCTGAATGATATTTTCTCACCCCAAAGTTTGGCGAATCTACATTTTCCCACCCATTATTAAAATTCATACGTTAGTTTTAATGGTTAAAAGACATTCTTATCAGTCTAGTCTGTACAAATTTTATTATAAAGTTAATATTACTTACAACCCTAAAATACAAATAGATGATAATTACCTTCATTAACTTGGAAATTAGTCACTTAAACTCCTATCTTCAATTTCTATTAAAAATTATATTTTTATTAAAAATCAGGTTATTAAATAAAATAAAAGTTAAGTTTTATAAAAATAAAATAAAAAAATGTATAAATATTTAAATAACCAGTTTTTAATAATTTAGAAAAAAAATCAAATATAAAAAAAAAAAAAATTGCCCCAACCCCTTTTATCCTTCCCACACCCCACCGCCACAAAATCATTCACCCCCAATATTCTTTCATAATTCACACCTACTGCGCACCTTCCCTCATCCCCAAAATCTAACAACCTCCAACAAACCTAGCGCCCCACCTTCATCATCTTTCGAAACCACTACGAACTCTAGCAGGGCCACCTCCTCTAATTTATTTTCTTCTCTCTCTTCATTCTTGTTTTCCCTCTCTCACTATTAGTTTAATGTTTTCATGGATTTGTTCATTTTCAAGGTAAATTTGATGGTTGTTTGGGGCGCACTAGTTGCTTGTGTTGGGTTAATATAATGTTTAGTTTGAAGATTTTAGTTTGTTGTGGTTATGGTTTAAGGGTACATTGATTCCCGGAATCGCACTTGGCTTGGTGCTATTCTAGGCTTGGTGCAAATTGGACGGTGGTGGAGGTTATGACGACAGCGGTGGGTATGGAGGCTGAAGAGGAAGGGGCGACAACGGAGGGGATTGTCACCAGGGAGGTGGCGGCTGTGTAGGAAAGAATGGTAGTGGCATCAGATCTCTTTAATTGGTAATATATTCCCTGCTCTCTTTTATTCAATATTTGTATAGTGTTACCATACTACTGAACTGCCTATGTAAAATCTTTTAAATAAAAGTTATGTGAATGTAATGCCTTCTAATTATAGCATAAAACGCAACTTTTTGCAAATTTTTAAATGCTACATACCTAAACTTGCTAGAGAAGTGTTGATTTGATTACCACTTAGATCCAACCTTTTCAAGTTTGTCAAATTTGCTAAACCTGCACCAAGGAAAAAGAAGAAATATAATTTAAAAATTAAGCAAATAGAATTAAATTACATAAAAAAGTAAGATTGACTACATCTCTCAAATATATCTCAAGAAAATGATTAATAATATCTAAAAGGAAAATCCTCTAATATCAAGGTGAAGTTTCTATATACCAATATAAATTTGAATTTTTAACTTTGAATAATTAAAATAAAAATAAAAATTGCTTCATGGGAGGTACCTAGACTTGATAGAGATCCATTTATATGATTCGAACTTAAATCCAAGACTTTCAAGTTTTTCAAATTTGCTAAACCTGCACAAATAATAATAATAATAATAAACAAAAAAAGATAAATAGAAGTTAGAAAGTCATATACAAGAATCAATAATTGCAAGAGAAAAATTAACCATATTTTCTCAAAGATTCTAGAGCAGTAATAAAAAGATGGTAGTAATTTGATATACTGGTTAGAATTTTACAGATTCGAACAATAATTTTTACCCAAACAAAATTGAAAAAATTGTAATGTTATTTCCTTTATTCTTCTCTTATAAATCTATTAATTCACCATAATGAGAATATCTATATATATATATTCTCGTTTGTTTTTATCACTTAAATTCTTTTCTACAATATTTTACACATCAACTATACAACTTTCCATTGAGAAATATTATTAATTATTAATATATTTAATATAAGAGTATATTAGTAAATATAAATTTAAACGTCATTAGTTTAAAAACAAATTAGGTACATAATACTAAGTTTTTTTAAAAAAAAAAAAAAAAAAAAAAAAAGAAGCCCCGAAGTATATACCTGCACCAATAAAAAGAGATTTATTTTTTAAAATAAGAAATAAAAGATTAAGATTAATTAATACGAAATTAAGAATAATACTTAAAACATATATACCTTGTTTGGCGAGTTGAGACCTTCTCCATATTATTCCCAAAAAGATCAAAGTGGTAAGTGACGTTAGGTTATTCAGTATGGTAAAAGAGTGGCATTGAACCCATTCCCACTAAGATCCAAGATCTTGAGTTGTTTCAAACACTGAAGCATCATATGCTATAAAGCTAATGTCAATACATATTGACTCAATATATTTATTATTTACTCAACATATTATTCATTATCCAAAGAAAAAAATTAATGCATCAACATACATATATAGCTCATAATAATCTGCATAGCTTATATAATCAATTTTTAGGTTAAATTGTTGACCTATAAGTAGAAGAACAAAATAGAAATTGTTTCACACACAAACACATATTTACAATTAATTAACAAATTAATAAGCATGTTCGTAATTTAATTAAGGGTGTCAACAATGACAATAAATTTTTGTATGCCCATATACTGAATGTAAACATGAAAAAAGTTTTAAAAATAAATAAATATATATTGCTAGACTGTTGCAAAAGTAATTTAATGGAGCATATATTTAAGCTATTACTATAATAATATACATACCTGTATTCTCATGCCAACCTTCAAAGAAATTGTAAGATAAATCAAGATTTTTCAACTCTTCAAAAGGATGAAACAAAGATAAATTTAGAGTTGGAAGTCTATCAAAAGGGTAATATCGAACGAATTGCCTGTATGATCAAGGGAAAGTTTGATGACACGTCCAGTAGTGGCGTTCATTGAACTTCTCCCAATCACAACAATTAGACATTTATCATCAACCCATGAAACAAGAATTTCTTCCGTTTGAAAAACACTGACGTTATGAAGGACTTTAAATCTAACAGACCATCCTCTCATTCTCCAAACAACTATTGAATCCAGATGTTTGAACCAAAACTAATACAACCCAAAATGACAACTTAATTAACACCCTTTCCATTATAACAATTCTCTCTCTCAACTCATCAATTTGCTTGTTTACTCTCTTCAAGTTTTTTGTGTTGATTTATATAGAACTAAATTTGAAATCTCTATCAACTTTGTGTTTGTAGTCTGACAATCTCAATCAATTAATGGAGTAAATTGGACGGCTAATAACACTATTAATATGATCATAGCAATCTCAATCAATTAAAGAGTCAATAGTTTTTGTTTTTTAGTTTACCTCAAATTGAAATGTCAAATTTAAAATCACAAGTCAAAAATAAATTTAGGGTTTTTTTTAAGAAGATGAAATGTCAAATTTACCCTTTTTCAAAAAGAAATTTTAATATACTTGTCCACAATAACTATGACAGTAAATTTTAATGGAACCAAAGCGGGTTCATTTTAACAGAATAATACTTGAAACACATTGGAAAATATTTAGGCTCATCGAAAATAATTTAATGTTTTTAGGTTGATGATCTTATCAATTGATAGAGTAAATTCAAGTGCCAACTATTTGTGTTTATTTAGTTACCTAAAATTTACAAAGTCAATCAATGACTTTCATATTTTTGTTCAGACAATCTTAGTTAATTAAATATGGAATTTAACACTCATTAAATTTAAATAAATTTTTAACATAATATAAATATTGAAATTTTAATTATCGTGGATGAAATTTTAAAAGTGATTATTCTAGATGACCATAAACATTAATGTAGGCGGAACATGTTCCACACTTGGTGGTTGGCCACTTTTTTTGAACGAGAGAGAACATTTTTTCCCTTTAATATAGTTTATTTTTTTCTTTGTCTTTGTCATTTTATAAAAGATTGTCTTCACAAATAAAGTAAGAAAATTAGTGGGGACATTAAATTTAGAGGCAACCATTCACATACAAGAGCATTAGCCCCCAACTGAAATAAAAATAATTCATTGAACACTACACAACTTTCTAATACTGCCAATGTTTCTGATGTGAAAGCAATGATTTAGCCAACAAAACTTAATTCGTTGGCTGATTTTTCAGCACGCAAGATCAATTAATCTTTGTGTTTAATGTTTTTAGTTTTGATGTCTCAATTAAATATTGGAATTTAATTATCACTGAAATTTAAATAATTTTTTAACAACAAATAAGTATTGAAATTTTTATAACTTTATTCAATGCAATAATAATTATGGTCAATGGAATTTTAAAAAGTGATTATTCTAAGCGACCATAAACATTAATGTGGTGGAACGTGTTCTACACTTGGTGGTTGGTCACTTTTTTTAAATGAGAGAAAACATGTTTTCTTCCTTTAAAAAGTTTAGTTTTTTTTTTCTGTCATTTTATGAAAACTGACTTCACGAAGCAAATTAAGCAAAATAAGTGGGGACATTCAATTTAGAGGCAACCATTCACAGCAAGAGCTTGGGCCCCAACTGAAAGATTCTGTCATTCACAAGCAAGTTGTGTACTGAAATAATCATGCCAATGTTTCCAATGTGAAAGCAATATTCTTTTATTTTATTTTTTTTATTTTTTTTGTTACAAACAACGTTTTTATACTAAGACACAAGACGAATAAAACATTGACAGCTGGCACAGGTGACACATTATTAATCATAGTGGGACCAGTTACAAAGAGGTAACAGTAACATGACATATTACCAGCTGTAGAATCAATACAATAGTTTCCAATGTTAAAAGCAATGACATGGTACAAATATAAGCCAATCAAAATGGGTGAAGATGAAGTCAATCAATTAGTAGTATGAATATCAAATAATGTGGGCGGAACGTGTTTTACACTTGGTGGTTGGTCACTTTTTTTAAATGAGAGAGAACATGTTTTCTTTCCTTTAAAAAAAGTTTAGTTTTTTTTTTCTTTGTCATTTATGAAAGATGACTTCACAAAGCAAATTAAGCAAAATAAGTGGGGACATTCAATTTAGGGGCAACCATTCACAAGCAAGAGCTTTGGCCCCCAACTGAAATGATTCTGTCATTCACAAGCAAGTTGTGTACTGAAATAATCATGCCAATGTTTCCAATGTGAAAGCAATAATTCTTTTATTTTTTTATTTTTTTTATTTTTTTTTTGTTACAAACAACGTTTTTATACTAGACACAAGACAAATAAAATACTGATAGCTGGCACAGGTGACACATTCTACTATATTGACATAAGTGGGACTCAAGTTTACAAACGGGGTAACATGAAATATTACCAACTGTAGAATTAATACAATAGTTTCCAATGTTAAAAGCAATGACAGGTACAAATATAAGTCTATCAAAATGGTGAAGATGAAGTCAATCAATTAGTAGTATGAATATCAAATTAATGTAGGCGGAACGTGTTTTAACTTGGTGGTTGGTCACTTTTTTTAAATGAGAGAGAACATGTTTTCTCCTTTTAAAAAAGTTTAGTTTTTTTTTTCTTTGTCATTTTATGAAAGATTGACTTCACAAGCAAATTAAGCAAAATAAGTGGGGACATTCAATTTAGAGGCAACCATTCACAAAGCAAGAGCTTTGGCCCCCAACTGAAATGATTCTGTCATTCACAAGCAAGTTGTGTACTGAAATAATCATGCCAATGTTTCCAATGTGAAAGCAATAATTCTTTTATTTTTTTTTTTTATTTTTTTTTTTTACAAACAACGTTTTTATACTAAGACACAAGACGAATAAAACACTGACAGCTGGCACACGTGACACATTCTACTATATTAACATAAGTGGGACTCAAGTTTACAAAGAGGTAACATGTAACATGACATATTACCAACTGTAGAATTAATACAATAGTTTCCAATGTTAAAAGCAATGACATGGTACAAATATAAGTCTATCAAAATGGTTGAAGATGAAGTCAATCAATTACTAGTATGAATATCAAATTATGATAGCCAAAAATTAGTAAAAGAAAAGGTAGGGTGAAATTATTCATGACAGGAAATTATGAAATTATTCATCTGACAGGAAATATGCATTCCATATGAGCTTCTAAAACTCAGTAAACCAACCTTTTAAGAATTGGAAACATGTTTCATGTTTTAGGAAGGATTGTGAACTGCAAAAATGAAAAATTATTGCATGATTAAAGTCCTTTGATTATGAGTTGGACTAGATTTAAATTAACCCATGCTGAGGACTAGGCCACCGTTCTACTGTTAAATTTTTTGATAGAAATAATTTGGAGTTGAGATTTAATAAGATAATTTATGGGTTGGCATAGCATTACTCAAATTTAAATAATAGTTTCCTGTCCAATAGATATAGTATATCCTCTAATACTAAATACTTTGTTGATCAGTTTCAGCATTGCACTTTCCTGCAGGCGTTAGCCACTTTGACCTCTAATAGTAGCTCATCTAATCAAATAAAAGTTGGAATACCAACAATTGGGAAATTTTGATATACACAAGTTAGGTATGCAACTGTAGCATTCTTTATGAAATGAAAGATTAGCTTGAGAAAATTTTTATTGCCATACAAATTATTTTTATCAAATCTTTTATTTAAGTTAATCTTTGAATATATATCATATATCTACAAACATATCTGAAGAAGTATATATACAAAGTTGCAACTAGGTCATTTTTTCTTCCCACAATATCACCAAAAGCTTCAGTCATGTCAGGTTCCTCTGGTTGAGTCCCCTCAGGGAGTTTCCAATTGAAATGATAAGAGTAATTCAACCAAACAAAGCTCGAAGTACTTTGCCAGTACATATCCTCCTTCCACCTCCAAATATTGGAATGTATTAAATGTTCGTCCCCTTGAAATCAATATCAAGTTTATTACTGACTTCAAGTAACTTAAATCCTGAATATCTTTCTCACCAATTCTTTTCTTTCCCTTATGCTTTTCTCTTAGCTCAACTTGTGACTTCTCTGCCATAGCCCATATATTTGTATTTGACAAAGTATCGGTTCCTCTGGTGAATATTCCCTAAATCAAATCGATGGACCAATACAATAAGACATATACCAAATAATACTACTACATAAAGTAATAGGGGTTAATTTACGTACACCTTTTCAGTGCTTAAAAGAAAGGACTCAAATTCTATAACACGGAAAAATGACAAAATTCTATTAATTGACATTAAATTTAACAGAAAATGATTTTAAAAAAAAATGTAAATGCCCTTTAACAAATATTTAAAGGAAAAACATTAAAACTCCATACTATTAAGAAAATTAAAAAGAACTTCAGAAAATCAGCAAAAAACTTAAAAGATAAAT